TACAGGCTGTTTAAACACACACCCTCTTCCACCCCCCTCAACGCATGAACACATCGTTTTAATTTAAACAAGACAAGGCATTTTTAAATTGAGACCTGCTCAGAGAAACCCTGCTGAGTTTCACAAATACAGAAGAGGAAAGAGTTATCAACACATTACAAAAACAGGAAAAAAAGGTTACACCAAGACAGACGACATTGTGGTTCCTGACCTCCCAGTGCTACAGGCTACAGCTAACAGGTCTGTAGAAGTGTCTGTAGCTTTTGAAAAGTTTGAGTCCCTTCAGAAGATTACTCTCACTATTTACTCTGTTACTGTCAGGCTGTGTATTTGCCCCACTGTTCCTAGTCCCACAAGCTGGGCAAAGTGATCCCACCAGCTCGGTTTATGGATATACTGATGGATTTGGGGGGCTGGAATGTTTTAGGATGGCATCGGTCTGTTTGGGAGGGTCTCTCCTTGAGTCCGTGAGTTCACTCCTGAAGCAGGCCGAAAGGAGACTGTAGAGAAGGAACCAGAGAAAAGAAAAAGATGAATGTACAGGACCCTTCACCAGCCACCAAGAGAGAAGCAGTCACCTTCATGATCACAGTATGGGCTTTGAAGGAGGACAGAAGCAAATGCTTAGTCCCAGAAGTCTGGGACTTCTGTCTTTGAAGTCCCAGACAGGAGCAAATGCTTAGCAAGGAAGAGGAACCAACCAGCTGATAGGGAAATCTGATTCTGTGTCCCAGTCTCATGGGTGTAAATGGTGAACTGAACACTGTTCCCAGCAATGAGTATGAGAGGAAAAAAGCACTCAGCCAAAGAGGAAAAGAAGAGAAGCAGCTTCCATTGAGCCCACTTCAAACTTCAGTTACTTAAAAAACAGAAGCTGGTGCTAGGGAGAGAGGACAGTACCTACTGTGAAAGGGCCATACTGATTCCATCTCAGCTAATCCCCTCCTCAAAGCAGGGACTCTCTGCACTAAAGCCAAGGGGTCCCTTGGCTGATGCAGAAGGCACTGCATCATCTCAGCTAGCAAGGCAAATACAGCGTGTCTTCACATACCTAATCTCACACTTTTTCTTGCTTACTTTCACCTTGGCAATTCCCTAGTGAGAACACAATCCAGGTGCCTGGAGTTCACAATACATGCAAGCACAGCACTACAAAACCAAACCAAACCATGCAAACCTTCACTATTAGCTTCCACACCAAAACTGAGAACATCTAGGTGGAGGTATGAAGAATACCTTCCCCACCAGCTGTCTTCCCACAGCAGCAAGCACTGAGATCCCTGCAGCTCCCATCTCAGCTGGAGCACGCCAGGCACTGGACAGCTTGACTCTATCCTACCTTACTTACAAAGTTACTTCTTTCTCAACTGGATCATGAGCTGTGCTGCTCACTAGACTGAAAGGCAGCCAGTGGGATGGTAGCTGAAGCCCTGCTGATATCAGATAAATGTTTGCTGGGATGCAAGATCCTGCTTGGACACAAGAGCCCTCTTCTGGGTAGCCATTGGAAGACTTTGTGAAAACCCTTCAATCATGGGAGTTGGACTTGATCCTTCTGTATCCCTTCCTTGAGATATTCTATGCTACAGCCAATTGAAATAAAGATTGTTCTGAAAACAGTGCTTAGTGGGGTGAAACCAACCACAGGAAATCTTGCTGAATATAAAATAAAAGTGTCTTCCAGGGAAACCCTTAAAGACTATGCAGATTCTCCATGGGAATATTGATGGTAAACATTTCACACCAGAGGACTGAAGAAAATTTCCATCCCGAATATAGCATGGGCCTCTTCTGGTATCTGACAGCAGTAGTCATCATCTGGCAAATCCACGCTTTAAATAAATGGTGGCAGATCATAAGAATTCAGTCCTCTAAATAAACGTGTGTGCTGTTCAAATATTGGCCCCAGGGTTTTGCAGTGAAAAAGGAAGAATAGGAACTGCAGGGAAAAAAAAAAAAAATCACCTTCCCACCTATGATCATGAAGGTATTTGGCATAACAGCAAATAACAGAAAACATGCACAAAGGAGCAAACAGAGAGAGGAGATGAGACAGAGAAAGATTGTAGTCTGGCACAACATGGAGCATTGCAGGATTTTGGTCATCTTGTGGGACTCAAAGCTTTCTCATTTTCACCAGATTTGTACTTTTTATTCCAGAACAGTAAGACAGTTGTATCTACTGGCCTGCCAAATGCAATGCTGATCTCTATGTGCACGAGAACAGTTTTACAGTTGTTTTCCAAAATGATAGATTAATATTTTTAAAACTATCTTTCACCATTATAATCTCATCCACCTCTTCAACAAAGATGAAGATTTCCATGCTCTAGGAACGACAGGGAACTTCTTCCTACATGCCTAGACATCTTTTCTGTGTTCACCACTGCTCAGAAAAGCAAACTGAAAAACCAGGCAATTGCTCCATCACAGTTTGACTGCGGAGCACACGTGGATGCAGCTCCATTTTGAGAAGAAAGCCAAATGCAACTCACAAACATCCCAGCTTCCCAAACATTCAAACTTGGTCACTGCATATGCACTTTCCTAGCTCCTACTTTTAACACGCACTTTGAAGGAAAATGAACAGAGACCATTTGGAAAGTACATCCCTACCTATAAAGTGAAAGGTGTTTCTTTTAAAGCCAGAACAGACTTGCAAAGGAGTCACTGTGCTGCTGAGTTTGGCCAGTCTGATGAGGAAGCAGTGGCAGGACATCTCCCAGCAACCTGCTCATAGGCAAGGCTGCTCTTACCCAAACCAGTTCCTACAAAGTGTCTTCTCTCCCCATCCTCACACTGAGACCTGAAGCTCCTTTATGGTTCTTTTTTGAGGTGCAATTGCATCTATGAGTCTTTTTAGCCTACACGCCCCTTTGCTGTGAACACTTTCCTTCAGAAATGAAGTCATATCCTAGCTTACCAAGGAAAAAGCACCAGAATCCAACTGCACCTACGAACCTATTGCCTGAACATGTACAGAGGACCCTGCTTGACGGCAGGCTGTCAGCAGAGACAACTGCAGCAGCTCTGGACAAAACTGGTAGTTATTTTTTCTTCCCACTCCTGGCATCCTTAAAAGCTCTTAATCTTTCTCCCCAGTATTTGAGCACACTCAGCAGCTGAGAAAAATGAGTATATAACTGGACAAGTGCCAGCAGACATGCCGAAAGAAGTTTCATTAAATTAAATGGCTGGACTTATACATGCTGGTCTTAAAGGTAACACAAATACTAACCTCAGTTGCCAGGAACCCATCCTATTGATACAGGAAGAATGAAAACAGTAGTTATGGCAAAGCAACTGTCAGCACCAAGTGAAAGCTGTCATCTGCTGCCATCCATTTGTGCTTACAAAACCATTTCTCAGCTGAAATGGCTGTAGCTCAGGTGGAGCTTTGAAGACAGGCAGCTGAGTGCACAAGGGCTGCAAATACTTAAGAGCTAGAAAATACAAGCTATAGTATATACAAACAGTGCAACTGACTGACAAAATTATCATTATTGCTTTTTAAGTGCCCCCCAAGAAGAGTCCAGAGCCACTGGCTGCTCCAGCCATTTTGGCACAAGGCTTTTTTGACACCTCCACAAGACTCCGGCTGACACTAAAACCACACTGGTCGAAATGTGAACACATGCAAAGAACTGGCAGAACGCCGTGGTATTGCAGGAGTCCTGAGACAAGGCCAAGGCACCGAAATAAATCCCCACAGGCTCAAGTGGGACTTGTGGTGCCTTGGCCTCGTGCTAACCTCTGCAGAGGAATGAGTTATACCCACAGCCTCCCGACACGTGAGCCTACCAGCAGGAACGTGAGAGATCCTGAGCACTACCGCTGGTGGCTACCTACAGCCCGGGCAGCTATTTTCTGTCACCCGATACAGCAGGTGAAGCAATGCCCATGAATGACACCGCTTACGGTCTGTCTGGGAAGTCATCCCCTGACCCAGTCTCTGTAACTGCAAAGCTTTGGAAACAGAGGGGAAAGTGGAAACCAGACACTTACTTGGCCTTTCTTCTGCCCATCCTCCTAGCGCTTGCACCACCCAAAGTAATCCTGGTGCAGCCCTGCCAGCTGAGTTCAGATAGGGACTATGACTGAAAGTTTCTCATGCACAATGTGGAGAGTCAGTGACAAAGTACAGTTTTAAAAACCACTTTAAAAGTGCATGTGTAGAGTCTTTGAAGCATCACAAAGTAATTCTTACGTGTTTCACCCTTACTCCCAATTTCCAGCTTCCTGTTTTACTACTGAAGAACCTACAGTATTTATAGCCCACTGAGACACCAGCCCCCCAACACCACCAGAGGTGTGCAGCAGCAGGGTCTAAGTACTGGCCAAGCTGGTGCTCACAGTCCCAGCTGCACATGCTCTTGGTAAGATGCTCACACGGATACCCTGGAGAAGGCATGGAGATGGCTCCATGTTTGCTGCTGTTCCTCTGAGGCAAAAAGGAGATGAGCACACCCACCCCATGCTCCTCAGCTCGGGGGCACACACAGCAGGTTTCTGTCTGCAGGCTGTTCAGTGGCACTGTCTGGCTGCACTGTGCCTTGGACTCTGGCTGGAAGTCAGAAACGAGGCACTGAGCCTGTCTTCATTCATACTTCAAGTCTAGAAGGTGACTTGTGTAGGACAAAAGACTAGAGAGAAACCTTGCAAGCAGTCAGGACATACACTTAGGGAAGGGGGACTTCTTTGTCCCATTGCACAAGTAGTGAAACCTGGATCTCAGACTTTGAGTCTCTTAGGTTCTCTACAGAAACTTGGCTTGGGCCAAAGTCCTGGCATCAATTTCTGCCAGCTCTGACCATGGGGTTAACAAGCAGCTATGCTGTTGGAAAGGATTTTGCCAGTGTAGCTCTCTACAAGTACGTGGCCCTTGGTTGAGCACCACATCCCTACAAACATCTTTGCAGAAGCCTTCTGTGTCTCTCTCCTCTCTCCCCCTTCCCCAGCACCCTTGCTGCACAGGCCACTGCAGGCACAGGCATACTCACTGCTTCTGGAGCAAGTGCTGGTGCTGCTGCTGCTGCTGCTGCCGGTAGGTCTCAATCGTGTGCTGGGGAAGGTACTGCATTAGTTCCAGGGACTCTTTGATCTTTAGTAGCATTTCATACGTCTCCCGTCCCCTCACCTGGATCACAGGAAAGGGGAGAAAAGAAAAGCTTTAAAGGACTGCATCAGTGGTCCTTAGCCACAACCACCTTCGTGAATTTTAGATAAAGTCAACCAACCAACCAGAGCTGAATGCAAGTATTTTGTTCATACACTATGCATACACAAAAATCCTGCTAAGCCTTGTGCTAGAGGTACAGCAGATAATGTTGAAGAGAGATAATCCGACACTGCAGGCCAAGAAACATCTTGGGAATATCATCTGGCTCGATGTAAATCGGTGCCAACCAAAAGCAATGTTCCAACCTGTTAGACAGAAGATGTCTCCACCTGCTTCAGATGGAAGCAGATTTGGTGCTGAATCTTACATGCCTTGAGGAAAAAGAGCACTTGAATTTGGGTGCTGGATTTGCATCTCCCCTCTTTAAGCATGCTGTGGTTTGTGATTTATCTAACTAAATATGGCTCATGGGGAAGAAACTAAACAAGCAATTACAGATACTTCTTGCCCTTTCTGATCCTACACTTAATACAGCATATTTCATTACAATGGAAATACATATAAAAGTCACAGAAGTAACCACCTTTGTCAGTGAAACAACACCCATCATCTCTAGAGAAAGCTCAAATGCCACTCAGAAACAGAGGAGGAAACCTGGTTAGGTCTCCAAGACAGTTTCCACCAAGACAGGCAGATCCCCTGGAATAAGGTAAATGCAAAGACAGAGAGAACTCACAGGCAAGTATAAGAGCTCATCATCTGGGGACCGTCTTTTTTTGATGGATGTCATCTGTATGCCATGAGTTCCTTGTCGAAAAGCTGCAAAAGAAACCCCAAAAGATTCCATTAAAAAAAAAAAAAAAAAGAAAAAAGAAAAAAGCTGGGTGAAAGGAAACGAAAAAAAAAAGAGAGATACAAAAGACACACAAAGCAGATGGCCAGCTCAGATCTGCAGTGCTCTGGAAGGGTCTCTTTCTAAGCCACTCCAGAACTGTGTTTGCAGTGCCTGGATCCATAAGGCAGACATGACTTTGGAGATGTCAAGCTGCCACACTGCCTGGGGAAACACATCAGCCAAGAAGCACTGACAAAACCCCAGCAAGCTGCAGCTACAGCAAGCACTGGGCCTTCACAGGAAACACTGTGAGCTTTGGTCTTACAGTGTTCATGAGCTCTTGGTAGCTCAGTGATCCACAAAGGTGAGACAACAGGCAGGGAGCATGCAGTATTCACTGCAAAAATTAAGCCCCCCTACAATCTACCTCCTGTTGAGACCTGCTGCCTTGCTGTTCAGCTTTGTGCCAACACTGAGCATGTCAGAAACCAAAGCTGGGTTTCCAGGTCTTGCACATCTGATGAGTACATTGCACTCTTTAGAGCACAGACAGAAGCCACTTGCCAGAGCACTTTGGATGCACAACAGGTTTTACATGCAGCCTTCATCTAGATCCCTGTGGCTGAAGGACACATGCAGAAAATACTGGCTAAAAGGAGCAAAGAATGACAGTACAGTCCCAAACAAGCAACGAAGGTTCAAAAAGCAGTTACAGAATCCCAGCCGTGTACCTTGAGGGTGGCAAACACACACCCCTTCCAGGCGCTGCCGGCAGGGCTAGCCCAACACAGGCAGCGCCGCAAGGCAGCCCGCAAACCCAGATGGTCAAAGGCTGTTTTGTGAACACCAGGTCATTTTTCAGGCTGACCGATGTCTAACACCCTCCTGCCTCCAAGGCCACGCACAGGGGTACAGGTGCCGAGCTCGCCCCCGCAGCCGGTGGCGGCGCGATTTGCCAGGGGCCCAGCTCTGCCGGCTACTTACGGCGCTTCGTACCATCACCATTCTTTGTGCTGTCGGAGACTTGCTGCTTGCGGATGCTGTCCTCGTCTGCCTTGCGGTCCCTGCCTGGGCAAGCGCAAATCCGGGCTTCGAAACAGCGGCGCCCCAAGACTTGCCCGCTGGGAATAGAGGTGAGAGGAAATGTCAGCTGGTAGCTCAGATGAAGGTCAGCAGCATCCCTCAGCTTCAAATCGGACTATGCACAGACAGCCCCTAGTATCTCCCATTTCCCAGTCAAGATGACCGAGGTGCTGGGCAAGCCCCACCTGCAAAGATTTGGAAAATATCCTGTGGCCCCTTACATCAAACAGTCCCTAAAGATGTGTAGTGCTGCCCTGAGCAGAAGGGGAGCCAGAGGGCCACCACTCAAGCAAAGGACTACACTCCTGATGCACTACTTACTCTCGGGTTTCCAGTGTGACAATGATGAGGATCGGGCGACGGTTCATACCTCCCACGCAGCTACTGTTACACATGAAGTTGTACAAGACTGTTGTGAACTCTGTACCGACCTGGATGAGACAAAGGGGATGAGCAGAAGAGATGGTGGATGGAAAGCTCTGCTTTCTCCTGGCTCTCCTCTTGTACTTCCACAGCTATGCTGCAATCAGACTAGCATAACATATGCCCCACCACAAGGCTTCCTTAAAAGAAATTAAGAACTCCTGCTCTCAAGGGATAAAGGGGATATTTCAAAGCTCATCTCTGACAAATAGGAAGAAGAGATCCATTGTGATGAGGCCAGGGAAAGTACAAGATCTTGACTCCTTCAAATAGGATTACAACCCCCACCCCTTTGTAGGCCAGGCTGCTACCACCCTGATCTCATAACATACCTGAGGTGGCTCGTAGGGGACCAGCACACTCTGTCTCCCGGTGATGGGGTCTTCTACATACTGGGCATGGCTGTTTCCTTCTACCCTGATCAGGTGGCTGGGAGGTGCAATCTGCCCTGCAAGGACAAGGGGCCGAAAACCAAGACACTATTCAGTGAAGCAAGGTCAAGCACAGGGTAGCAAGAACATCCACCCCATACCTGCCCCCAGAGGTCTATTGGAGCACACGTGTGCCTCCAATCCCTTAAAGCATCCCTTTACAAGGTCCCTGCTGCCAGGCATCAAAGGCAATACAGACTTTCCGAAGCTCACGCTGGACACCTGTGCGTAAACTTGAACACAGGCTTCCCAAGATCCCAGACTAAGCAAGCCCAAATGTCAGCTGAATGGCAGATCAGAGCAACTCTTCTACCAGATAACTCCCTCTGGATTTTCACTCTAACTGAAAGCCTTCCTTTTCCTTCCCATAATGCATACACAATGTAAATTCCTTCAATTCTCAATTCCTACTCTCCTCCCCATTCAGTTGCGAGCCTTCTTCTGTTCCCTCCCATCAGCCTTGATCCTGAGGAACTAAAAATGATTCAAGCAACAAGAGAAATATACATTTAGTTAATGGTCAACTTGAAAAATCTTGTTTCCTTACAGCAGCAGCAGAAGAGAACATGATCTTTGTTTCTATACCCTTTTCCAATAGTGAAAGAGACCCAGAAAGTTTCCTTCTTGCAAATTTTCTGCAATGTTTCTCTCAATTTAGTTTTGTGTTTTAGAAAAGAAGTTTGTTATGGGTTCACCTCAATAAAACACAGCATATTTCTAGAGAATTATTTTAGAATAACAATTTATAGTTGGAGTTTTAAGAAAGAAAAAAATAAATGACTGAATCAAGTATCAACCCTCAAAAAAAGCAGATGTGTCAGAAATCACTTTGCAATAGGAAAAACTATTTTGAAGATCTGTCTCTCTCTACTCTAATTTTATACTCTGAAGTCCTTGCTTATTTTTGGGATTGTCTAGCTGGCCACAATGAAACCAGCAAAGAGATCCAGGCTCTTAAGACATCCTACTAACTGACACCAACCACCTTTTTTTACAGTAGCAGATAAATAATGCACATAGAATAAAACAGATGCTCATCTGAACTTATGTGAACTTGAGAAGCCAAAGCAAAAGAGGAGCCCAGCCTATGAGTTTGCAGAAAACTCCAGGACATTTTTGAAACATCTGCCACTTCACTAATATGAGAAGAAGCAAATAAAAGATTAAAACATTAGTACTGCACCAACAGCATTAAATGTACAGGATGGTTGCCTACAGTTGATGCTGGCACTTGGCATCATCCTGCTAGAGATAAACAGCCCCTCCGTCTTAGAGGCGTGGATTAAGGACTGGAGATGATATTGCATCCTGTTACTAGATCCCTGTCCCAGCAACATGGAAGCTCATTCCTGAGCACAAGAACAGCTGCTTCTCATCGTGGGAGCAAAAGCAGAGCGGGGAGAGGCTGCCAGAAGGGTACTGCTTGCCATGGGGACAGACATCCAACCTGGGCAGGCACAAGGTTTATTTCGGTACTTTCTTCCCAAGGACATACTTGCGCAGGGACAGCTAGAGTATTAAGCTTCCCGATAAGCACAGGAAATAAAAAGCTGCACAAGATGTTGCAGGGAGGTCTGATTCCAGCAGGTTTGCTGTGAAGCTGCTGCCAAAGCCCTGTGCTGGCTGCTCATGAGCCAAGCAGCTTTGAAGAGGGACTGCCAGCAAAGCACTACCCTCCTTACCCTCGTTGAACTCCCGGCTCAGCTCGTGGTTCGGGCAGCGTTTGACCACCTCGGTGACATGTTCGGCTTTCTTGTAGACTGGCATAGCCCTGATGACAGCTCCCTGAGGTGGTGGAGTCATCACTTTGATCTGGATGGGACACGTCTTGGCAATCTGGCAGTACAACTTCTTCAGTTCGGTGGAATACTGGGAAAGACAAGCAAGAGAGAGAGTCAGGATGTTCAGCTAGAAATGGAGGCCTGCCAGAAGGATGGAGAGAGCTTTGCACACAACTGAATACAGTTGCGCTGAACACAATGCACTATATGTGCATTGCATTTGCTCACACAACCACCATGCTTCCAGACAAGTGGCAAAACCCCTAGACCTTTATCTGTTGTAGAATAGCAGAGTATAAATCTACAGCTTAGTTTTCCCAAAGGCAAAAATCTTCAGAAAAAGAATGCTGCTTTAATACAAACAAATGCAGTCTTTATTCCTCTTGGGCACGCAAGCCCTCTTCCAAGGGACACACAACCCACCTAACAAAACAGACACTATACACTATTCTTTTCACAGCATCCTGTAATCCTGGAAGCACTGGAAACCACACATGAAAAGCGTTTCATCCCGTTTTGTAAGAAGCCCTCCTACTTTTGCAGAAAGATGAAATAAAACCATGAACCTTGGAATTGAACAGTACTTGAAAGTACTGATCATTTTGGGAGTTGTACCAAATCTGACATTTAAGTAATTTTTAAAAGCATCTCATACCTCTGCTGATTGCCCCTGTAGCAATCTCCACATTTGTAAACTCAAAGCATTGTGTCCACAAAAGAGATAAAAAGTAAAAATACAAAGAATTTTTATTTTTTTTTACAATTATCAAAGGTCAGAAGAATGGAACAGCCCAAAGACTATGCCCATGGTGAGACGTAGAGCGGAACCCAGCAGCTGGCTCCAATAGGGAGGTTGTGATCATGCAATGAGCACCTGGAGCAGGATAAGGTGCTCTTATTCACTGTGCTAACTTGGAGCATATTAGACGCCTTTTCAGAGGTTCCCTGCTAAAGCCATAACACTGGTCCAGCGTTTTCCTGAAGTGTGTTTGCATCTGGAAACCTTTACTCGGCAAAATACTCAGGCGTGGGCCGAAATAATTTGTTTCTGTTCCAAAACTCTCACTGAAACAAAGGTATGTGCTTAGGAGGAATGGTTGCTCTTACGTGGTTCAGTACCGTGCAACCCTGAACCCATTTTTCTAGATGTCCCCCACAAAGGAGACTCTCCACTCTGCTGTAAAAGGTTCTTTCAAAATACAGCAGTTTTTGTCAGCACCCCACTCCATAGGCATTCTGTTTTCTCCTGGTGCTCAACCATTCGTGAGCACAGAGCTCTCCCAGTAACTCTCACCACGTAACCCACAGGAATTACTTGTATTTCCCCACTTCCATCTCTTTGGTTCTTACAGAGGAAGAAAAGTGAAAGCCCTAAGGTGACTGTTTTCTCAAGAAATATCTCTAGCATCTGTGGCTGATACAGCCCCAGTCCCAACTGTTCAAACAGAGCATCAACAGGTTCATACTGGTTGAGAGCACGACTTGGCCATCCATGCTGCCAGGATGGGAAGAACTGACACAAGCATGGGTGGGTGGTGGGTGACGTGGCAGCAGAAGGATTAGCTAGCAATATTCAGGGATTATTTGCATTTCAAAGCCTACACATTGCCAACACAGGAAAAACCAAAGTTGGGAGAGACACTGGGGAGGAGAGAGGGATTAAAAATAAGCCAAGCCAGTCCCTTCCCTCCTCACTCAACGCCACCCTGCCATATGGCAGAGAAGATGCTACAGGTATTTAAGCTAAGGAAAAAAAAGTTCTTTAAAATGCAAAGGCCAAATTGTGCAATGTATTTTATGTGCCTGCAGGCTAGAGATTAAACCCACAAAGGATTTACCCAGCCCGCGGAAACAAGGAACATGCCAAACAATTACAAAAAAAAAAGTTGCGAAACAGATCTAGATCGTGATTTATATCATATGTCTTTTTAACCTGAAATTCTTTATTGTTTTTTAATTAAAAATTAATTCCTTACTGAAGGTAAGAGTGAGCTCACTATGTTGCCTTTTCATTTCAAGAGGTAGGAAAAGAATCACTTATATTTGAAAAAGAGGAAGAAAATTTAGAAAGCGTCCTTTCCCTCAACATATCAGTTTGCTAATAGCACTGTGAAGGTTTCAAGGACAGAAAGCCTCAAATATCTCAAAAAGCCAACTAATCGTTTGGATGCCTTAACATCATCGAAGTGTAAAGAAATCGGGCACTCAAAGGCAGCGGGCTGAAATGAGAGCAGCAATCTGGAAGCGCGGTGGCGCGGGGCGGACTCAGCGCGCGCCAGGGGCCAGCGTGTCTGGTGTCCGCAGGCATGCCGAGAATTGGACAAGTGGAAGGAGATACACGCCCCTCGGTCACGGATCAGGAGTGTTGGTGTTGACTGGGATTTTACGTGTAATATCTTTAAAGACAGAAAGATGGGGTTACAAAAAGGGGGCGGGAAGGAAGAATAATAATTAAAAAAAAAAAAAAAGAATTCACCGCTTTCAGAAAGACAGGAGGGGTGCCCAACACCAGCGTCGGTATCAAGGCTCCAGATCAAACAGCGTGGCCTCTCTACCAGCAAAGAAAGGGGCCTGCTCTTCATTCTCCTTTTGGCAACTCCACTGTCAGACCCCTCTAGCTACAACCAGCAAGGAAGGTGTTGGACCTGCAGCTTAAACTCACAGAAAGCAAACAGCCAAGGGCTAATGGTTTGTGATGAACAAGCCTATCCAACAAAGGAATACACATATGTCCCCAAAACACAAGCCAGACTCAGGAGAACCAGGCTCTGAACAACACCTTGAACTCTGCGTGTCAGAAAGAGGGTGACCGGGAGCCCACCACTGCTCTGGACATGGCCAGGGCACAGGGTGGCAAGCAGCAGCACCCAGCACAGGGCCATGTGAGACAGCAGAAAGGCTGCACCACCTTTTTGACATCTGACTGCAAGAGGAGTTCAAGCCTTGTAGGTACTACAGAGGACTTGGGGACATGGCAGACAGCCACGATTTCACATCTACCCCAGGCACAGCCACCCGCAAGCGTGTGATCATTGAGCGACTGGTCATTTAACACCAGTGTAAATCTGTCCATAGGTACCTGCTGTCAGACAGTAAGGGGCTTGAGTTTCCCACCCTGCCAACTTTGCTGCAATCGTGGGTAACCCGATGCCCAGCCATCTATTGGCATAAATAGATGTGAACAACTAGGTCGTGGTGGCTTTGTACTGGATCAGTGATAATTGCTATATCCATGGAGCAAGACAGGATATTGTATATAGATTTCAAAGTAATAAGATTTGGGGAAAAAACAAAACCATACCATCAAGGCAGGAGCTGTCTGTGCGTCAAGAGTGCCTGCAAGCAAATGTCATCCCTTCAGCACAAATACCTCTCCCCAGTGTTCCCCAAATCACCCCACCTTGCAGGAGATGACAGTCCCCTTGCCCACCATTTTGCTATAGGAACCAACAGATGCTCACTATATGAGAAGTAAGATCACAAGACAAATAATTCCCAGAATAACTGTTAATAAACACACTTCTTGCTTGAGTAGGAAAACTAAATTAATTAGGAGCAAAAATACCAAAAATTAGCTTGACCCACTTAACAAGCCTATCATTCAACAAGATCACAGAAGTCATTATGCAGCATCAGGAACAAAAGTTGTGCCAGTAGCCTGAAGAGCACAAACACCACTTCTACCAGACACGAGGACCACAAAGTTATTTAAAACACAAGAGCAGAGCCTGGTGACTTGTTATCCATTTGAGAGGGAAAGGAACGAGCTTTGGCTTGGACTTTTCTTTGGGCTTTGAGTCCTGCATGTCATGCCCAAATAAGCAGATTTCAGGAGACTGCTAAGAACCACAGTGAATTTAGCTTTTTGGTTAATAACATATTTTAAAAGGGAAGAAAACAGTGTTCCAGCACCTTCAGCTCTGCCCCCTCCCCACCTTCCCAGGCAGACACACTGTATTACCCACTCTTGGCACCCTGGCTGGTAATTCAGTGTTACAATACACACACATCAGCTACCATCAGGCAACACCTGCCTGATTTGTCAGCAAGCCCCTTCTCCAGAAGGTGTGTCAACAAAAGATTTAAAGGAGAAAAAACCCAAACCAACTATATTTCACTTCTCAAATGGAGCATTTTTGCTAGAAAGGAGAGAAATCTCCAGTGCAATACAAACTGCAACGGTTTTTCACTGAGCATTCAATTCCCCTGCAAAACTCTGATGCAGCAAAATCCCCCAAACACTATTCTGGAAATCTACCTCTAATACCATCTGATCTAGCCAAGGGATTACAGCCTCTAAGTCTTTAAAAGGAGCAAGGTTCAGTCAGCTCTACAAATACTGATGGATGTCAACTTGAAGGTGATCCCAGAGGTTGGCTTATGGCGTGACAGCTCCCTGAGCCTCTTCTGCTCAGATCAACAGGTCTTTCAAATCTTTTGCAAACTTCTTTCACATAGTCACGTTTTAGCTCAGCTCAGTTAAACACTAGATTCATTTTACCTGATGCTTTCAAAGCTGTCAATCAGCTATGCTTTCTCCTCTGCCAAACTAACTCCAAGAAAGAGAAAGAAAGAAAGAACAGGTTAGAAGAGTGGGAAAGTAATATTTATTTGCACCAAAACATTCATAGATAAGAACAAGGAGAGTCACAAAGAAGCAGAAAATTACCCACATAAGATTTTTTCATTTAGGGGAGAAAAGACAGTGGGAAGAAAGGAAGCTACTTACTAAGAATAAAAATTGAGATTCATGCATGGACCTCATATGGTTTTGCTTTGATGACCAGTGATTCAGCTTTTCGTTCATGAAAAACTGTTGGGGGCATGAGGGGACACCAGATAAACATGTGGAGATGCATACATGCTTCTAGGAACCAATTTGTACCCAGAAGATGCTCAGAGATAAAGCCCAAGAGGTACTCTACCAGGAGCCCTGTGGGCATAAATCTCCTGCTAGATTTAACCTCCAGCTCAGCATAACTTTCACTCCACCATTTAGAAGCTGACTTCTTGTATCTCCATTTTGAGGTCTTCTATCTCATCAAGCTCCAGAGAAAAAAAAACAGGCAGCTTGCCACTACCA